CAACGATTCTGAAAAACAGTTATATTAAAGCTCTAGAAACCAGACTGTGTAATGTTTGCCCGAGTGGCTACATCTGAGAACTTGTACATGGTTATAAAAGGGGAGAAACATAACTGAAGGTGCAAAATGATATAATAAATTTTTAAGCACAGGATTTAATACATTAAGCACCTACACCTGCAAATATAGCTTTTTCACAAGCGACTTAGCCACAGATGATAGCTCAACGAAGTGGCTTATCACAGAGAAATTTAAAGCAGCCAAATACTCTTAAATGCACATTGATTCTAAGCGTGGAGGGAAAAAAAACGGAGGACCCGGAGAAAAGTCCATGCAACAACGGGGAGAAAATGCAAACTCAAAATATACAGGCGTGAAGGGTTGGGATTGAACCCACGACCTCATGTATACCAGGCGTTGGAGTTAATGTCGCCACCGTGGCGTCTCACTAAATAATTATGTGATGACAGAGATAAAATTACATGTGGGTGGACGTGCCAAAAATCACATGCAGCTTTTGATTATGGAAAATTAGAAACATACACGGAACCATTAACTGGTAGCAGACTTTACCCACTTTCGTTCAGCTTTCATTTCACTTCTCTAAAAAGTAACCGATAAACTGCGACAAAAAATAAATCCATTTGATTCGGCACCCTGTAAAATCTCTAGATATACGTTCATAGGGCTAGGTTAAAACATGAGTCCTTCATTAAACCAGAAAAGTTCTCCAATCAGATACATTTTCTTTTACGATGGTGATTTTAAAAATAAAAAATTTTAACTGGGATTTTAAATTAAGCAAACTCAAAGTGGCTCACTCAATTATAACCCCAGAGGCCTGGAACGGGTGGCGATTGGCTGTAAAAAAAACTCACTGGGGGCAGTGGCGGTAACGGAATTACCAACGTAGAGGCGGTCCTCGACTTAACGTCGGTTCCACTTAGGGCACATTTTGTAGGAGGTAGGTCCAAGGACCGCCCATATGTACAAACTGTACTATCGGTATCCGATGGCCATGTAGCAGCAGCAACTGGAACCAGGGCAACGTTCTCTACAAAAGCACTTGATCGTGAGATCAAGTGACGCACACACAAACGTCGATGACCGTGCGAGGTATGCACGGGACAGGTCGCCTCTCGTGTCTCACCCCCGCTGTGCCAACCTCCCCCTCCGTCCCGAATGGTCTCATTTCATCGACACCATTTGCTTGGGGGGGCCACATCCAGTGCTGGCAGATAATCAGTAGGAGACAACACTTTTCACTCCGACCAACGCAGTTCCCGTCGGCGAGCAAAGGATGCCATTCACGAAAATGGGATCGTTCCCACTAACGTCCCATCCAACCTTCAAATACAGGAACAACCCTGTGTGCAGTCATTGAACCACCGATAAAAGACGCCGAGCCATTCAACGCCTTTTTATCACATGGATGCTTAATATGCACAACAATTCATTTAGCTGCAGCCGTGTGCACGAACGAGCCCAACACTACATTTTCAAAAAGCCGCACACACACAAGACTGACAATTGTATCGCCCGTGGGGACCAATAATATCCACCTGTCATCAGAGACAGTGAGAGGCAGAATAACAACATAAAAATCCAGAAAAACGCATGTCAAAAATGTTATAAATTGATTTGCATTTTAATGAGGGAAATAAGTATTTGACCCCCTCTCAATCAGAAAGATTTCTGGCTTTCAGGTGTCTTTTAAACAGGTAACGAGCTGAGATTAGGAGCACACTCTTAAAGGGAGTGCTCCTAATCTCAGCTTGTTACCTGTATAAAAGGCACCTGTCCACAGAAGCAATCAATCAGATTCCAAACTCTCCACCATGGCCAAGACCAACGAGCTCTCCAAGGATGTCAGGGACAAGATTGTAGACCTACACAAGGCTGGAATGGGCTACAAGACCATTGCCAAGCAGCTTGGTGAGAAGGTGACAACAGTTGGTGCGATTATTCGCAAATGGAAGAAACACAAATAACTGTCAATCTCCCTCGGCCTGGGGCTCCATGCAAGATCTCACCTCGTGGAGTTGCAATGATCATGAGAACGGTGAGGAATCAGCCCAGAACTACACGGGAGGATATTGTCAATGATCAAGGCAGCTGGGACCATAGTCACCAAGAAAACAATTGGTAACACACTACACCGTGAAGGACTGAAATCCTGCAGTGCCCGCAAGGTCCCCCTGCTCAAGAAAGCACATGCACATGCCGGTCTGAAGTTTGCCAATGAACATCTGAATGATTCAGAGGACAACTGGGTGAAAGTGTTGTGGTCAGATGAGACCAAAATGGAGCTCTTTGGCATCAACTCAATTCGCCGTGTTTGGAGGAGGAGGAATGCTGCCTATGACCCCAAGAACACCATCCCCACCGTCAAACATGAAGGTGGAAATATTATGCTTTGGGGCTGTTTTTCTGCTAAGGGGACAGGACAACTTCACCGCATCAAAGAGACGATGGACGGGGCCATGTACCGTCAAATCTTGGGTGAGAGAACCTCCTTCCCTCAGCCAGGGCATTGAAAATAGGTCGTGGATAGGTATTCCATAGAAAATTGTGGAGGGAGCTGAAGGTTCGAGTTTCCAAATGTCAGCCTCGAAACCTTAATGACTTGGAGAAGATCTGCAAAGAGGAGTGGGACAAAATCCCTCCAGAGATGTGTGCAAACCTGGTGGCCAACTACAAGAAACGTCTGACCTCTGTGATTGCCAACAAGGGTTTTGCCACCAAGTACTAAGTCATGTTTTGCAGAGGGGTCAAATACTTATTTCCCTCATTAAAATGCAAATCAATTTATAACATTTTTGACATGCGTGTTTCTGGATTTTTTTGTTGTTATTCTGTCTCTCACCGTTCAAATAAACCTACCATTCAAATTATAGACTGATCATTTCTTTGTCAGTGGGCAAACGTACAAAATCAGCAGGGGATCAAATACTTTTTTCCCTCACTGTAGATATGAAACGCACTGGCTGCTGTGCCAACCCCGCTATAGTAAGTCATATGGCAGCAGGGCCAGTATTTGGCCCAATTCCTTACACGCCTCCCCGCAATGGGAAAACGGCATGTCGAGGGCAACACGAGTGGGTGGCATGGCCGCCCACACGATCCACGGCAAGTGGTATCGCAGTCGCCATCTTAGAAGGCGGGTGCAACAAGTAAAAGAGCGGTGGGGGAGCCAGCACACTGTCCACCAAACTATTTAGAATATAGAATTAACACACATGCGCTTATTCAACACAAAAAGACAGACTCCCCCCATATAGCCGAACAGACTTTCGGAGCTAGATGCTGTTAACGAGCACGGCACATGAGGGCGTAGAGGGCAGCCAGCACCATGTCCGACTGCCTTTGTCTCCCCAGTGATGATGTTTACACAGCACCAGGTATCCATTTGAAGTGGAGACGATCTTGGGGAGGCCCAGGACTGGTTCAAATAATCGTCACTGGTGTTGGTGGCCATGAGCGGGAATTGAACTTGGGTCGCCGAGTTTGTTGTGCAGCGCGCTAACCACCGCGTCACCGCTCCTCATTTACAACAACCGCCATTCACCACTAAGTGGCGGTGATGTCACCATGGCACTTGTGCCAGGATAAGTGCACTTTAAGGCCACGTGATGTGTCGAACACTCGCTGGCAGGTCACGACATAGACCCAGGCGCCATGGGTTGACTGACGCACACACACGCACGCACACACACACACACAAATGCTAATTCCTTTGTTGTTGATGAGAAGATGACGGCAAAGAAAGAGTTAACAAAACCCACAGATGTGGTTTTGCATTTCAAGTTTGGTTCCCCAGTTCACAATGCTCACCTACACTACAAGTATCTTCCATTGTCTGTCAGTCTGTCGGTTGTTAGCTGGCAGGCCAGCTGTTATAGTGACGGGGTGGGTTTTCATTTTAAAGCTACATCTAACCCTGACTCAATACTTACTGTAGTGCATTTAGGGTAAAGCACAAGGGTGCCATAACCCGGAGTTTCTGAATTCTGGTCGCTAGCAGTGAATAAAAACACATTCTAACGGTGCCTTATTCTGGTTCATGGACCCCCAGTGACAAAACACAAGAGCACTTTGGTCTGGTTTTCAGAAAATATATGACGTGTGTAAATATATTATATATATGCACCACTCATGAATACTGGGTGAAGAAATTTAGTGGCTGCATGAACTCACCTTGTGCCACACCATCACTCGCGCTAAAAGTGTGTGTGCTGCCTAGCCAAGTGGCTATCGCAACTGCAGCATCTGCAATGCCACGGCTTCCTACTAAAGATTGACCAAGCACCAGTCAGAGGATAATCTTCAGTGGCAAGTCCCTGACACGTTGTATATTTGGTTGTTGTTGGGAATTAAAAAAAAGAAAAATAAGTTACAATACTCTTTTCGCATGTTTTACATTCGTCAATGTAACAACGTTTGAATCAACTCAACAAACCGGCAGTTTTAAGGCGTCATTAAATATAAACGCACCAAATTCAGTCATGTTTTTTGAGTGGTGAATTTACGACATATCAACATTTCAAGACAATGCCAAATTAAATGAACGAGGGTCAAGGTGTACTGATCAATGATTTAAGGTTGTGACAATTTAAGTGAGTGAGATAGAGTAGCCGTGATGTTGGTCACCCACCTGCTCGTGCCCTCTGCTGGCATTCATAGTTGCTCACTAACAGCACTTGCCCCAACAGTCTGTTAAAGGCTATATGGGGGATCTTTGCCTTTGTGGTGTAGAAGGCACTCACTGAGTACTGTGGAACAGATTGTGTGTTTACAAGAGGTATTCGCCATGTACTGAATAGCTTGAATACATGCGTAAAGAGGGTACTCTTACTGAATACCGTGCAACAGCTTGGCTGCGTATGTACAAAGTGCATTCACTGTGCACCGTGCAACAGCTTGGCTGTGTATGTACAAAGTGCATTCACTGTGCACCACGCAACAGCTTGGCTGTGTGTGTGTGTGCAGGTGGTACTCACTGCGTACTGTGCTACAGATGTGCTGTAAATGCGGTCGTCTCTCGTCTGCGGGGAGGGTCCTCGTGGCAGCGACCTGCGGGGGTTTGCGCCGTCAAGGAAAACATCGCTTGCTGCACTCGGCATCGCCTTCAGAGACATCTGCAGCGCCACGCAAAGCACCGCGGCCCAGGCGGCAAGCTCCCCCACACGGCACGTGCACCAGATAGGCGCGCACGCCAGTACACGGGCAGCATGAGCCACGGCTCTCGCGAGTGGTGAGATATATCCCAAATACTACATATCACCTTGCGATGGTGACAAGTCTTTTATAGAAACAAAGTTGTGTCTGCGGTAGCAGTTACATTGGGGAAACGAAACGACATGTCTCGGACCGTGTTCGCGAACACAAGGCAGATTTGAAACACGGCAGAACCAATACCTCTGCCATGGCTGATAACTGCTTGAACACGGTGGGGGCTCACACGACATTATTTTTCCCGAGACCAAGGTACTCTGCAAACCTTCGGGCTACAATCAAAGATTCATTCATGAAGCCATCCAGATATACAAACACAGACATATCTTCAACCAAAACGATGGGCACAAATTGAGCAATCATTGGAAGGACGTTGATGTTTCCATCTGACCTGTCATTGTCAGCAGTTATTTCCGACTGACTTACATTACCAAGTTAAATGTCTTTACTTTAACTGTAATAAATGTCTCACTAACAAAGCCAAAGTTGCCCCCTTTCCCTCGATGTGGCGGTGGCTCTCGTTTTTTAGCAGACTATAACTGGCTGTGATGTTGTTGTGTGTGTCTACCTGTATGTCTCTCTCTTTATGTCTTTGTGTGTATGGGTCTCTGTCATTTTGTGTGCGTCTCTCTCTGTCTCCTGTTGCGTGCTCTATCCCCCTAGTGGCTGATATACCGTCGTTGCGCTCGACCCTCAATCATCTCTGCGCCTTTCCTTCGCCCTGTTCAACACCATCCCCCTAGTGGCGGCTTTACGGTCACTACACATTGACATACTAATCCCTCAATACAATTGCCACCTCAGCTCTTCGTGGAGGTGAATCACCCCCCCCCTTCCCCCCCCATCTCGGTTCCCATCTTTAGATTTCCCACTCGTTCAGGCACAATCTCTAGCCCCACCCTCTTGCCCGATGTGGCAACCCCCCATCCCCGGCTCTATATATGAGGACTTGCTTCAGCAGTCTGTTTCGCTCTCCCACCTGATGACTATTGCTTGTGTGGCGATCAAAACGTCGTGATCTATTATTATTTTTTCTACCTACGTAAATCACCGAAAGAACCAAAGAGTAAGTATTTTATAACAACACGACGTTCCTAGTTGAAGCTGTCCAATGTACTTTGCTTAAGGGAATAATTTTCACGCTTCCACAATGCTTTCATGCTGCCATGTAGGCTTCTTGTAAATTACGTCGGTGTATTTTATGCATGGAAACACGAGAGGGAGTAAACAGCCACGTGTTTCACCACAAGGCGACCCTAAAGCTGAATGCAGGCTTGGCATTACGCAAGCTGTGTGCTTGGGGACATCTGTAGGCAGTTACAACAATGACTCAAACTTCCCTTTTTTTCATCACATCTTGATGCTGACAAGCAAACGTAGAAAAGGCAGAGCCGATCACCGTAGGATCCGCTTCAAATGCTACAGACATCCCTGTTGTATGTATGTTGAACTTATTTTGCACCATACGTAGCCAACCGTGCTGATCGGACCTGTATGAGCACGGACAACTAATCACAAAGAGCAGAATACCGCACAAATCATAATCTAAACCTCCCTGGAAAAGGTTGAAATGGATCTCAACAACCTCTCACTTGGCTAGAGAAAATTTTTTAACGCAACAATGTTTATTTTTGAACGCTGGCCGTGAAAATGTAATTCGTCAACGGTCTTATATTTTTTTAAATAGAGGCAGTCCCCGAAATACGAACGTCCAACTGCCGATCATGCGCGCTTACGAACGAATCGCCCATAAGATATTATTTGTAACCATCCGACTTGCGAACGTTCGCTCGTACTTACGAACCGCAAAACTATTTTGTTCGGCGGAGCAATCCTCCACCAGAATCCTGCGTGATGCACAACGGTAGTGAACCGTTCAACTCAAGGCAAGTGAAAATTAAATTAATTTTCTTTTGATGTTACTTTGTTTCATTTACTACACAATATGTATTCTTAGTTTTTTCGGTAAAGTCACGTTGAAGAGAAACAACAAAATAATAAAATGTATATAAAACAATAAAAAATTCTCACGACGTTTCGACCATAACTCAAACGGTCGTCTTCAGGTGTGTTGGTTCGCATAAATTTATTTTTAAACGGCGCATTTATTTATTTATAAAAAATATGTATTACAGTATATGCAAACGTACACTTTCTTCCTATGTACGAGTTTAACAATGTTTCCCTGCATTGTTGAACCACAACACATTTTGTAACAATGACCGTATGCACGATTAAATATTGAGTTCCGAGATACGAACACATCGACTTACGAACGGGTCTCGGGATTGTAACCCATTGTTCGTAAGTTGAGGTCTGCCCGTACATCTAATTACTCCCTTCCAAGATGGGAATTTAGGGCTAAAGACGACACAGGATTTATTGCTGGGGAAAATAACATGGGAAGAGAAGTGGAGAAATATTTCCCCAGCTGGGTAAACACAGCACTGTGTACACCTGCCTAGGCAGCCACCACACAACACTAAAAGACAAGAGAGCTTCACACACCCGGACCCCAGGCCACAGTGAGAAGGGTGGCTCTCCGTCCATCTGCACGTATCAACCAGTATTTTCCAACCAGCAAAGTTGGAGGCCAGAAAAGGGTAACAATGTTGTTGTCCAGAGAAAAACATGAAAAATTGGACCAGAACCAGGATGAGACACGCAGACAGGAAGCCAAAAAACATTAACTTGGTCAGACTTTCACATTCCATTGGAGGCTTTATGTTTTTACGATTAAATGTTTAGATACGGTCTGTATTTAAGTCGATCAAAAGTTAATCACCTTCAATGTATTTTAATCCAGGATGGATTAACAACACCCAGGCCACAATTGCAACTGAGACTTTCCACGGAAGTGGTGACACGACTTTGCTTGCTGCGGTAGGGCATTTGCCGACTGTTGCAGAGGTTCCTGGTTCAAATCTGGTGGACGCCCCCCGATTATTACCGCGGGATGTAATAAACGTAACAAGCAGTCTGCTTCACAGTGGATGTTAAAGTTCCCCCAATGGCATTCACAAGAGTAGGCCCATCGTGTGCCGGGCGTCAGAGTCCAAATTCGAAAATTACACCGCAATTTATTCAATTGGGATTATAGAGCAATCATCGACCTCTACTGGCAGACTGATGCTCATTTGTGGGCCAGGTGCCGAGTCACCTTGTGCTGCACAGGGACAGCCGCCACGTGTAGGGCGCGATATCAAAAGCAACTAAACATGCTATTTTGAATTTGCATCTAGAAGGGTTGGGGAAAGTGCTCCGCGAGAGAAAACAATGCTTGCACTCACAGAACCACCCACACATACCTTCTCCGGAGCATTTCACTCCAAGAACTCCATCTAAAAAAACGTAGCCTCAAAGAACAATTAAAAGTAGACTCTTGGGATATGAGGGTCAACATACAAATCTTCGGGCAGGCCAAAACCATGTAGACTCCATTCCTCACACAGATTAGCGGTGGTAGTGTTTGGCACAAACTCGGGCCATTAAGAGTTTGATTCCCAGGCCAAAGTTAACAGTGGCTAGCGATATCAGAGCTAAACAGAATTCCACACGACATGAGTATTGTAAAGAGTTTGCTGCAAAACCGCCGTGCTAAAGTGTGCAGCGCAACACGAGGCAAGGACGGGTGGCGTGCAGAACTCCTTCCCCCCCCCCCAGCCCAGACATGAGCCAATGCCACCACACGAGCACCAGCGCTGCTGCCGGCGCTGCTGTCGCCACCGCCGCCACCGGGGGAAAAACAGCAGCGCTCACACGCCCTAAAAATAGCGCTTCCACGTGAAAAAGCTAAGCCAAAGCAACGTGCAGCGGGAGCCCTATTTTTAACCTTCCTACTTAGACAGGGGCTGGTGGCGGGGGGAGGGGATAACTGCCCACATACAGAAGCATTTAGTGGCCCTCTTGCTGCCTCGTGTCACCTTCTGCCGCATGACTCATCAAAGGGCCCGGGCCTTTCGTGGTTCGCGAGGCTACAGCTTGTTCAGCGACAGTCCTATAGAGTACAGGCCCCTGGAATAGTCATGTATAACGTTTCCACCTGTCCACCACTGATTCAATGTCTCAATGTCCAATTGAGAAGGAAACCCTCTGCTTCCAATTGCCCACTCCGTGCAAGTCATATTTGCTTGCACCAATATTGAATATGCTTAATGGACACAATGAGCCGAGCCGAACGTTCAGAATGCCATATTCCCGTGTGGATAACAATAGTACACAACAGTTTTTTTTTTAATGGGGCTACATGTTTCTAAAACAGAATTTTTTTAAACCATTCTCCGATTTTGCACCTCACAGTCTGTGAAACGGTGTGTATCTGGGACCGGGCTGTGAAGTCTGTACCGTTGCAACAAACGCCACGCTTATGTCCCAGAATGTTACTCTGTGCCATTGTTAAAATAAACCGTAAGTCTCCACACAGGCAGCGGAGCCCGGCAACCACAAGGCACATCACACGCTCCCCCCCCTCCCTGCACGAAGTGCCTTATCAGATGGAAATTTATTGTAGCCAAATGCTCTAAACGCAAGTTTTTAAATGGGGAGGGAAAAACCAGAGGACCCGGAGAAAAATCCATGCGAATTCTCAACAGCCCCCGCAGGACACACACACACATCCACACACACGTCCACCGCAATGGTTAACACACTCGGGGACTTCTCCCCACACGAGGAGGAGAGAGCTGTAACACCCAGAGAGTTGGCATTGACTTTTAAAAGACACGACCTGGCTTGATGAAATTTATCGCAACCATCGCCCCGCCGTCAGTGTTCGAACACAAATGTTGTTTCTGGAACCTTTAGAACTCAGAATCTTTATTCAGACTGGAGAAATCCGATGAGCTATTAAGCTCTTTTTAAACATATGCCCAGTAAGGGGGGAGGGGGGGGGGCTTGTCAGAAAGTTACAACACAAAAATAAACCGATAGGAGTGCTAAGTCTAGGAAAGGTAAGCAAATCACTAAAAATAAATACATTAATAAACTTGACCTAAGCTATTTTTATTTCACCAGGTAAAGCCCACTGACCTATTAGTAATTTTTCAGAAGTGACCTGGCCACCAATGGTAGCTCAAGTGGCTTATCACGTGGTAATTTCTAGCAGCCAAATGATCTTGGCGGGAGCACTTAAATTTAGCAAGGGACTAGGAAGAGGGGTGGACAACTTGAATGTCTTTGAGGTCTGCATGCCGCCCGAGGAACCTAGGTTGTTCACCCAAACATGAAACGCAACAGACTGGGCAGTTAAAAGGCACTGCAAGTTCCATGTAGATTAGGTTTATTACTCAAAGGGTGGTTACAAGCGTGGTCGCACACCACTTTGGCGTTGCTCATACTTCTCGTGCCCCACTTTAGTATCTAACGTATAAAGTTCTACTAACATTCCTGCAGTTCATTTCCTTCGCATGGTATAGTCCACCCATCAATAACTCTTCACATGGTTTAATTTTCTCCATTTGTTTGTCTTTGTTTATGAATCACATTATTTTGGGAAATGGCTGCTGTGATTAACTCTGATCAAGGCGTGTCGCCTCATAACATGCACTTAAGTACTTTCCTCATGTTAATTGATGTGGGGAAGAACTTCACCCGAGGCACCCTAAAGAAACCTTTCCTAAACCCACCTTGCTCATGTGGATTCTTGCCTCGATATAGTCCATATTCTGTTCTCACTGATCTTCAGGAACACAAGGTATAACCAAGAGCAGTTGAGGGAATTGGATCAAAATGATGAAACAATTAAGTGGATGAGGGCAGCCTGCAGTTTTTTGGAAAACAGAACTTAATATACCACAGCCTTTCCACACAAACTCTGAGCGCTGCCCTTCCAAAACAAATCCATCACGGAAGTAGTTGTGTGGACTGGCCCCTTGAGGTCAGTGCCAGGTCAAAATTACCTTCAGCGCAAGGCCCCTTTTATACCTGCAACGCAGCGAGTTCTGCAACACGGCTTTGGCCACAACTTGCGGTCCTTCAGGCTAGCCGAGCCACATCTCACCACAATATTCCAATGACTTCTAAATCGTCGTTAATCGTGCCTCCGGAAATATTTATTGGCGTCTCCCTCTCTGCAGTGTTCTTTTCAGTACATTCCCACTCATTGCCTGCCTTGCAACACGGTTCTCGTCCATACGATTTCAGATGCCCTGACCATCTCAATTGCCTCTGTCTGTTGTTGATATGCTCCATCTTATACGAGGCAATGAGAAATAAGAAAATGATAAAAGGAGCCCGTGCAGGAATGGCTTTGCATGACCACGTCTGAAGTGTGCACATCCCGATGGTATCACGTTAGTGACACGGGGACAGCAGCTGTCAAGGTAGGGGGGGGAGGGCTGCCACGAGGCAGCATGGGACCTGTGACTCCACAAGTCTCCAAGGGACTGTGGCAGTGCTCGGCTCACCATTTGTGAGACGGAACATCTGCTTTATTGCTTTTCTTTGACAACAATTGTTCAAGGTAAGCACACCCATTGGTGGAGAAAGTACAGCAGGTTCCTCCTTGCCAACATGATTCAGCAAAAACTGAACTTCGAAAGCAATGAACAATCGGTATAAATTTAAGGTGCAAAGTGTTCTTTGCAAATTTAAAGTACATTGAGGGCTCATGCCACTTGTTACCACTTCCCTGGATATTCTTGTCCACGTGCCCATTCAAGCAAAGGGGTGACCCCAAGCGGTCCGCAATGCTCTGCAAACAGACCACTCCTTGGTAAGATGTATTTTTTTCAGGAGACTGGATTTCTGGACATGACACAGGCAGACTGCACAACTCTCATAGCATCTACTACACTATGCTACACCGGGATATCAAAATGTAATATGAATTTCCTTTGACCTTGTAAAATCCAAGTATTTATTTAATCTACATCATGGGACCTCCTTTGTCAGTACAAAAATGAGAATAGGTTTTGCCCCTTTTTTCTGGCAAGAAAACAGGTGTTAAGATGTTAAAACACCAAACTGAAACCTTTTACAAGGAATCATGTCTGCATTAACCACAAAACTTGTGGTCAGGATGCAAACAAAAAACATACTGTGATAATATATGCATTGTCTTTGCCAGAAAAAAGGGGAAAACCTATTCTCATATTTATTGAATGTGTTGTACCTATCAACAAGAACATTTCGGTATTTCATTTAAAAAAACCCAAGCGAGGATGCATTTTTAACAATGGCTCTCTTCTTCTGTTTCTTGACCTGGAATTAAATATTGAAGAGTCGGTGCATAAACAGTTTCTTAGAGTCCTGGTGAGGTCTTTGAAATTCTCGTTCTCAATTCACAAACCGGGCATGAAATATACTTGCCTGAAATCACGCAAGGATACGTGTGGGGATCCAATTCAAATCGGGGCCTCAATGTTACACTAACCCCACTACAAACCAACAGCAATAAACCACCACATCTACCATGACAAGAGACAGACAACTTGTTCCAGCAGTCTCCGAATAAATATTGGAGCAAAGCACATCCAGTAATAAAATGTCCCATCAAGCAGGGCCTTAAAGTGCAAAATGTGGGGGGGGGGCAGAGAGGTACAACCCTTTTGATAATACCTCAGAGCCAATGTCTACCCTACGGTAAACAAACATATATCAGTGTCTTTTTAGTGACAACAAGTCTTTACTTTGCATTGGTGCTTATCGCACAGCCTATTGCTTTGGAAGCCCATAAATGAAAGAGCCAGCCCTCCAACAGGTGATTTCACGTCCACATTACCTAATGGGGGTTAAATTTAATTTCGGAACGTTTGACACAAAAGCCAAAGTTGTCTGGATTGGGGTCAAAATAGGACATGTGCAGGACAATTTTTCCAAATAGATAATGCTAGAAAATAGTATTCAGATTGTCTACATATTTTCACAAATATCCCACGCACGCCTATTGTTGGCATAACTTCAAAGAACAATGGCCAGAGAGAGTGAACTGGTCTAGCACATTGGGCGTGAACACGCGGCACTACCTTTTCCTTGAACTCGGTAACAAAGGTTACAAAGCACGAGTCACATCTGGCAGTCACGACCAGACTTGGCCACTTTACGGGCACCCAGAACATGGCGGCTGGTGTTAAATGCTAATGCATCATCGCTCACACCAAAAAATGTCGCGAGCCTATCAATTGAGAATGTCTGTTGTCATGCCAGTGTGTTGGAGAGACAAGGAAACCCTCTATCAAGAGGCTTTCAAGCCTTAAGTGTGCTGCATCTGTCGGATGGGTCAGAAGAGTTGATGTTAATGATAAGCTTCAGAACAAAGACATCTTCGTCTAGAGAAGCAAATGTGAATAAAGAAAACCCATTGGAAGCTTCCACATCCTTGACAAGGAAGTGACCACGATGTATTTTGCACTGTATTCCAGAAAACTGTACTCTGACACAGAGTGTCTCAAGTGGAGGGGGGGGATCGGGCAGAGGGGTCGTCCAAGGTCCATCTCACTCCCCGTCTCTCTTCCCGTGCATCTCTCCTCTGTGCCTCTCGTGTCTCCATGTTGCTCTCATGTTGCTCTCTCGTGTGTCAAGTGACATCTCTCACAGTCCTCGCTCTTCAAAAATATTTTGGGATAAACTATTGAAGGTAAGGCCCACTGAGCTGCTCCATAGCTCTTCAGAAGCGACCTGGCCACAAATCAAAGCTCAACAAAGTGGCTTACCAAGTGGAAACTTATAGCAGCCAAACACTCTAAAAGCATGTTGCTAAATGCAGAGGGAAAACCCGGAGGACCCGGAGGAAAATCCACACAACCACGCGGAGAACATGCAAACTCGAAATATACAGGTGTCGGGGTCGGAATCGAACCCACAACTTCCTGTTTACCAGGCGAGCTAGTTAACATTTTGCCACGGTGGCCCTGGGCTCCTGCTTGCGACTGCTGTGTGGAAGTTGCCTGGCCTGTCGCTCAACACAAGCTCCGAGTCCTCAAGAATTCCGATTGTGCCCTCTCTCTTCTTTATGCTTACAAAATGGGGGACCCATTTATAACTCCAGCGCCAGCTTGATGTTGCAAAAAGCTCACATATCCTTGATAAATCTGGGCATAATCCCACCCGTTCAAGATGGGTCGGATGGGTCCACACGTACTCTCAACCAGCTTCTGTTTGGCCAGATAGTTTGTCCATGCCCTGTTTGGCCGAGGGGATTAATGGGCAGTGTTTGCAATCGCATATGCTGCAGTAGGCACAGGGAACTTTCCCTATTTTGCACATTAGGATCCTAGGATGGAATGCACATTATAAATTAGAATTATTATTTGAAACAAATAGGACTTCTGGAGATTGTATTCAAAGAGATAATGGACCATATCTAACAAGCTGTTTTGTAATGCACACCACCAACTACTGGTTTCACAGGAGAGCAAGATGTACACTTGGATGTAGTTTAAACTCAACAGGGCGAATACGGTACGTGGGGGGGGGGGGGGGCATGCTATGATCCATCACGACTGCAGTGTCAAGTAACAAAGAAGCTCGTAACGACAACCGGGGCAATGTCGGACAATCTCGGCATATCGTGAACAACATCGGTCAGTACCCTGAAGGAGGGGGAAAAAAAAAGTACATTGTTCAGAGTTACAAACCCACCCGGGAAATGTGCGCGCATCACGACCAAAACTTCCCATCTACTGCAGGGCAGATGCTAATCGACACAGGGTCATTCACGACACTAAACCACTGCATGTCCATTCATATTCCAAACTATATATTTGATTACTGCACCTATCATTATAAACACAATATATTTTCCCAAATACTGCAACTACAATTAATGATAGTAATATCCCCCCATACTGGTGCAGGTACAAAGTAATTCTCGCTGCTGACCATTTTAAGAGAAAAATCCACTGGAACATGGCGGAACGGTGTCATTCCACTGTTGGATAGAGGCCTTCCCACACTGTAACGCTCCTGGGGGTTGTTTGACCATACTTCACCACGATAGTCAGTACGTGATGGTGGTGGGACCCAGGACCGGTTCAGATAACTTTCACCACCGAT